TTCGAATTGAAACCTTATAAGGAAGTTTGCGATTTATCCCAAAAGAGATTCGATGAACATCAAAAGTTTTTGACTTTCCTATAGTCGTGTGTGTGGGCCAAAGTGATGTAGCCACAGATGGCACACCACTGCACACGCATGGTACTGGGAAACATCCGTCCAGGCTAACCGAGCCTTCTATCCACCCGGGGTCGATTAGATATACCAGACGAGAATGGTAGGATAAAAGCACTAACTTGTACACTGGCTAGTCTCTGCAACTTAAAGTATAGGACACACAGGCATTGAAGACCTCAAAGTTTTTGGATAGAGTCAAGTGCCGGGCGCACCCCAAGAAGGGATTGATCAACATCAATAACTTCAGCTTTCATTTATGAAGGTGTACCACTGAAGTGTGCATGATAATTTCTGGGAAAAAAGATCAGAGAGGTTCTCGAACTTTTCTGGGAAATTTCGCGGCAGTACAGATGGGTTTCCAGATGTGAACATAGTCCTTTCATTCGAGGGGCATTGCAGAAGTCTATTATAATTTATAAATTCCCAGCTAAGTTTAAAAATGCAAGATAAATTGGTGGTGGACCTAAAGGTCAGACAGGTATGTGGGATAGAAGAATGAAGGAGGAAGACTTTGGGCGTTGATCAATCCCTTCTGAAGCATATACCCCCGCATTCTACTTCCATTCAGAATCGTGGTGGCGTATTGAATGCGTATGTGGCCTAAAAAATGACTCGAAGTTACCAGCCGATGTACACAAGTCAGTCATTTTTTTCTACCAGCCATTCTAGTACCGGTTACCCAACCACGGAGGCATGTAAAGCTTGGTTGGCCTAGGTGGTATTGGACCGAGATTCGAAATCATGACCAGGTATGTAGGATAAAGCGCCTTTGCCACTACACCGCCTCCGCCCATATGATTGCGGGATCGAGATTTTTTTGATGAGCCAGCATTTCACTCGAGGCTTACCACCTGTTTTAGGGTCTTACTTCAATCTAAATATTTATGACCGCCGAGCCATAAAGAGACGGGCAGTCGTATCGGTCAGGATCGGTAACCGTGCTGGAATTCAGCCCTCTTTAGTGGTTCAGTGAAGCTATTTCTAGGCAAATTAGTTAAAAATCTGTCTTATCATTCGTCTGTCAATAGTTACATATCGGCATACTCACCCACAGATGATCGATGAGGGAAAAGGACATGTCGTAGAGCATAATCACATAATCAGAGTGAAGAGCCTTAATATGAGAAAAATTAGTAGGAACTGATAAATAGGAGCAATCAGATTACAGAAGAGAGAGCATGACTCCTACTAACAAATGCCACCCCAATTGTGAAGGCCCTTCTCACGTTTGCTTTAGCCTTATTTAATCAATGTCCCCACAGAAGAGGTCACATCCGACCTATACAACTGCACCTTACCCTTCAGCCATCGATTTATGTTTCCTGCACAGCTCACCACCGGCTCATTGCTGACTTTTGAAGAACTCCTGAAAAAAGGTTTTATTCTGTTTTTGCATCAAATCAAGGCATTTTAAAAGCTCTCCGTGCTCGGTTTTATCATTGTTACAGGCAACCCCTTTTTCCACTTGTTTACTGTGATCGTGAGGTCTTTGGTGATCTTCCTTCGGTTATTCTTACATAAAAAGTGGTAGCTCCTGAAAAGGTCGTTTTCTTATAACTCGGCTTTTCCTGAACCCTGAGTGATAAGTTGCAAATTGAGATAGCACTTCTCCTGCGGTCGAGGGTGGTGTAGTGTCACTCCTATGGTCTTACCCTTATAGGCTACCCGGCCATACCAGGCATTCCATTCAACCGGAATCAACCGGCGATTGGTGCCAGGTTCGTGAAAAAGGGTTAAAGTACTCAACTGTGAATGGGCTGGTCACCTCAAGTCATTTTGAAGGCAAAATACGCATTCAATATGCCACTGCGATTCTGGTCAAAAGTTAAATGCGAGGCGCATCCCAGAAACGGGACAGGTTGAAGCCAACGAGCTCTGTATTTTATTACTCAGTACTTTGTTCACTTTTGATCCCCTTCTCAATCGAACATGGCAATGCAAATGGATGATCTCCTCTAGAAGTTTCCATGAGTCGAATCAATCACTCGTCATCATTCGCCACGCACACATCGGCCGTGCGATGGTGGTCCGCTCTTTCTTTTCCTGGATTTCTGTTGTGACTTTCTTACCGATGCCCATAATGAGTTAGGAGGATTCTCCCTGTGTGAGATTTACTCCTCTGAGCTTGCTTCAATATCTTTTAGCGAATTCCTGGAATTTGAACACCATCCGTTTTTGTTTCAGGACTTGCATCCGGCTTGACTGCTTATCGGCGTATCGACCATCCCAAATGAAGTCTATGCAGTTCGATCTCACTTGCTACAACAATTCGGTCGCCTAAATTTGAGAGAGATCAATATAGCCGAGGTTTGCCCTTTTCTTGGAGTTTTTTTTTCATGAAAAATTGACTAGTGTACTAAGTAGGCAGTAACATCATTGGAAATAGCGTGGGAGACGGGGCTGCGTTGGAGCAACAAATTAGATTCGAGGAATTTTGTGTGATTCGTAAACCCAGAATTTCTTGTTGAATTCTACTTTAACTCAGAATGGGAATCACAGAGCGACGTGGGGTAACCTTTTAAGCTGAGGCAGGATTCCCAGACTTAGACTTTCACCAGAATTCTCTGGGGCGAATTTGGGTGGTTATACACAGTTTCATCGGCGCAGGACTTCATGAGCTTTCCACGTAGCATGGTCAACCTAGAACTTCCAACACAAATGTTCTTGAGGAGGAAAGTTACATGGGGACTTAACGAGGCATCATCAGCGCTACCTTCTTCCTCCTTTTTCACTTCGTTTTCTCCTCCTGACACCTGGATCATCGTATGAATTTGTACGAAGACCTTTTATCCTCATGTGAGCAACATAAATACTACATTGTATTATACCGTATTTTATTTATATTTCATCAATTATATTGGAAAAATTGCAGCGTTAAATACAGCACGAGATTGCATGTATAACATAAAAAAAGCGTTAATCATACATTTTCTGATCAATCAGATTATTATGCTCCAATACCTACAAATACCGATAGCGTTACAGTGATCGAGGCCATTCCCAAAACTCCTGTTGCCACAAGCAGCACTCGAACTCGATTGATCTGAAGTTTTGACGTACATGCTTCAGATACTGTACAAGTGCAATAGTTTAATTTTTAATAAAAATTATAAAAAATTCAATTAAATAAAAATTAATCAAAGCTGTTTCACTGAAAGTGGTAAAAGTTTTCAGGGAAATAAGAAACAATTTTTTCTTTGCTGAGCGTGAGTCGTTGTGTATACCATTTTGTTGATTAGCACTAACAAGTGAGTTGTGGCCGCAGCACATACCAATCAGGCGTGCGGTCGTGGTGCGGCTGTTGTGACACAGGGATTCGCCTTATGCGCTGCGACCGCATACCGAATGGTTCCGCCACCAGCTTGCTGCGAATTTCTCAATCCGATGACAGAAGACACCCAGCG